ACAAACTAAGAAGTTTAACAAAACAGAAAATACAAGTTAAACATCATGCTTCAAACATTAAATCATATATATATATATATATATATATATAACAATTTAATTATTACAACAAAATACCAAACGGTTTGAATATGAAGTTGACACCACACACACCGGATGTAAAGTCCTTCAGATTTGTGAACCGTTGGGACGAAACTTTATTCAATTGTTCTTTTAATTACGGCTTCTCCAACTTTTACTCTCCCTTTCTATCTATTCAATGACATACAAATTTAAGAAATCAATTCTGGAATAAATGAAATGCTTTCTAAAACACCAGTGTCTATTACTAACGAAGACATGGATTTAATCAAGAAAAGATTATTCGATATAGAAAGAATAGAAAGGCAAAATCACAAAAACAAGCAACAAAAGAAAATCACAAGAGATCGTTTAAAACAGCAAATTTCATGTTTTGATATAAATCAGATTTCAAGAGAGAGTGACAGTTTAAAAACGGAAACACCCCACGGAGAATAATTTAGTTGTTTATCTGTCGTCGATAGAATTAACCAACTCCGAAGAAAAATTGTTGAGTAGGGGCCTACATTTCTGTCCTATACCAGCCAATATTAACAACCTACAATTGGAGACAGATGTAGAGCAATTTGCAAGACGTCTTCGCCTGAAGGAACATTTCAATAGGCAACACAAAAAAACCTTACATAAAGCCGGAATGAATGATTCTGAATATGAGAGTGATAAAGAAGACATTTGCATCCCTAGATCTAAAAAGAAAAGCGAATGAAATCCACCCAGAAGTAAGAACGATAATTTACATAGATAAGTAAAATCATATAATAAAAAAGCAAAATGAGGATGTTAAATTTGATGTATGCCTTTTTGTGCTTCTTCGTTACATTTGTTTGTTTTTATAGTGATTAAGATGATTACACAATGTTGACGGCTGTACCCATATTTTTAACATTTTTACCTATTGTGTCTGTTTGTTTTGTTCACGCATGGTTGTCAATATAATGGAATTTGATGCGACTGTCATACAAGTGAGAGGTTTAGCTAGCTATAAAACCAGGTTCAATCCACCATTTTCTACATAAGAAAATGCCTGTACCAAGTCAGGAATATGACAGTTGTTATCCATTCGTTTAATGTGTTTGAGCTTTTGATTTTGCCATTTGATTATGGACTTGCCTTTTTGAATTTTCCTCGGAGTTCAGTATTTTTGTGATTTTACTTTTTAGAATCTTTTATACATCTATTAAAACTGAAGTAAAATCATCAGTCAGTGGCAAACGCATACGGAATCCCTTACCAAGAAACACAATTTTGGTATCGATGGATGTGTGTTCTTTATACACCAATATTCCAAAGAATGAAGTAGTCGCTTGTGAAAAAGTATGGAATGATCGTAAGGATAAACATCCCCCAACCGACTGTCTGATTCAGTTGCTGAAACTAGTGCTCAAAAACAACAATTTTGTATTCAACATCCAGCACTACTTGCAGATTGACGGTACAAGTATGGGAACCAAAATGGAACCTTTTTTGCCAACATTTTCATGGGGTATCTCGAAGAACGAATCCTTTCGAATGTATCATACAAACCATTGTCTTGGATCCGTTATATTGATGACATGGACATCAAATGGAACGAAACTGCAGAACATCTACAAGATTTTTTAGATTTCAGTAATAACTTACATCAATCTACAAAGTTCACATCTGAAGTTTCAAATGAGAAAATTGCGTTTCTCGACACCACCATAACTTTAGAAAACGGAGTCATGACAACCGACCTTCACACCAAAAAACTCACAAACACCAATTTCTCTTTCCGAAGAGTTGTCACCCAAAACACTGTTCCCGAAGCATTCCGTACAGCCAAGCTATCAGGTTATAGCGGATTTGCTCATCGGAATCAAAATTAAACAACCGTTTGGGACAACTCAGACAACAACTTAAATCAAGAGGTTATAAGAACAAAAACATTCCAGAAGCTTTCGGTAAAGCAAAAGAAAAAGACAGAACAATTCTACTTGAATACAAAGAAAAGAAGGCCCACACAAATAAAATTCCGTTTGTTGTCAGCTTTCATCCTGACCTGACAAATCTTTCATCTATTGTCCACAAACACTGGCGTCTTATTGAAAATGATCCTTCCTTAAAAGAGATTTTTCCATCACCTCCCGTCATGGCATACCACAGACCCAAAAACCTCAAAGATATTCTAGTTACATCTAAAGTATCTAAACAAGAGACATCGACAACAGGAGGTTATAAACCATGCGGAAGAGGCAATTGTAAGTGCTGCAAAGTCGCCAACATTGAAACCCAATTCGTCAGCACTGTCACAAAAAATAAATACAACATATTTATAACATCCAATTGCAAAACGCAAAATTGTATTTATGTTCTAACGTGTGGAACTTGCAAGTTGCAATATGTTGGTGAAACAGAAACACCATTCAACATCCGACTGAATAACCATCGGTCATTTTATACAAAAGAAAGCAACTGCCCAATCACAAGACATCTTTTAAGAGAAGGGCATGATTTTGAAAATGTCACATTTCAAAATGAAATCATTGAGAAAACCAAAATTGGGACACGCAAGGAAGACAAAAGAGAGAGAGAGATTTTGGATGCACCAGTTACGGACTCTTGAACCTGATGGACTCAATGGGAGAGACGAGAAAAGATTTAAAAACAAATCAAAATAATAATCTTGAAATCATACAATTTATAGAATATCAATAAGTATGTTAAACTTTTATTCCAACTTTGTGTAGTTAATTTACAAAGATAGTTTTTGTCAAGCATCCGATTTCACCTTCATAGATGCACGCGCCTGATGAAGCTAGTTTGTCTAGCGAAATATTGCGTATATCTATTTAAATCTAATAGAACTTTTTAATGTATCAATTAGCGTGTTTAAGTTATATTCTTAGACATTTATATAATTTTAATTCAATAACTGTATCAGTTTATTTTCACAAGCTGATCCACGCCAAAATAGATTGGCTGTTGATTGTTGCTATTTTTAGACATTATATATATATATATAAGAAAATTAATATAAGATAATGACGGTTTCCAGCATACGGATTCTATTTGACTTTTTTCTATATATATATATATATATATATATATTTATATATAAGATCCATTTATTACACCTGGTGATCCGTTTATTTGGCAATCGCCAATGGCAGTCGGCAGGTTTTAAGAACATTTGTTGTTCGACCTGTTAGTCAAATGCGTTTTGTTAAAATATACTCTTTCACTTTTTTGGTCTTTTGGAAAATGTTGTTTGTGCTGTATGTAGACCCTTCTAACAAGAAATTTGTTTTGCATGCACACGTATAAAAATTGCGGTTTTTATCCAACGCAATACAGCAATACAGCACAAACAACATTTTATCCAACGCAATACAGCAATACAGCACAAACAACATTTTCCAAAATACCAAAACGTGAAGAATGATATTTTAACAAAACGCAATTGACTAACAGGTCGAACAACTGATGTTCTTAAACCCTGCTGACTGCCATGGCGATTGCCAAATAAACGTATCACAAGATGTAACAAAATGGATCTAAATTATTAATTTAATACCAAACAGAAAACAATAAACTTGCAGAAAAGATGTTATACCGCAAACATGAGGTGCAAAAATTTGTACACCATATCAGGATTTCGACAATTAATGTCTCTTCAGATATATATATATATATATGATCCGTTTATTTGGCAATCGCCAATAGCAGTCAGCAGGGTTTAAGGACATCAGTTGTTCGACCTGCTAGTCAAATGCGTTTTGTTAAAATATACTTTTTCACTCATTTGATCTTTTGAAAAAGAGATTTTGTTGTTTGTGCTGTATTTAGACCCCTCTACCAAGAAATCTGTTTTGCATGCACACGTATAAAAATTGCGGTTTTTATCCAACGCAATCATAGGATAGAACGTTGTTTTCAATTTAGACTTGTTTATATTTTTTCGTTTGGGCTTGTATTATATTTGCCTTCGGGTTTATATGATCCGTTCATCCTACTTTGACTCTTTCAAAATTCAAGAGTCTATCCTAAATTGAGGTAAATTATATGGCCTTCCAAATACCTTTTCGATTCCTAACATCACTGAAGAGACATTAATTGTCGAAATCCGGATATGGTGTACAAAAACCTTTGCACCTTTTGTTTGCGGTATACCATCTTCTCCGCAAGTTTATTGTTTTCTGTTTAGTACTAAATTTATAATTGAGATCCATTTATTACATCGGTGATCCGTTTATTTGGCAATCGCCAATGGCAGTCAGCAGGGTTTAAGGACATCAGTTGTTCGACCTGCTAGTCAAATGCGTTTTGTTAAAATATACTTTTTCACTCATTTGATCTTTTGGAAAATGTTGTTTGTGCTGTATTTAGACCCCTCTACCAAGAAATTTGTTTTGCATGCACACGTATAAAAATTGCGGTTTTTATCCAACGCAATCATAGGATAGAACGTTGTTTTCAATTTAGACTTGTTTATATATATATATATATATATATATATATATATATATATATATATATATATATATATATATATATATATGTGTGTGTAGTTCATTTATGTCCAAATTGTTTTTTCTTTTCTTTGTATGTATACTTAACTATTGTTTTTTTTAATGTTGTTGTTGTTGTCTTATTAATGTCTTATATTGTATTATGCTCTTTGTGAGGCCATTCATTTAATGGAAATAAAACATCTTCTTCTATCTATATATAGGAAGGTACACATAGCAACATAAAAAATTAAATTAAAAAAACATGTTTATTAGCGGGATCCAAATGTTCACAATTAAATTAAGATTTATAAAATGATGCTAGAAAATATAGGACCGTGTATAAAAGCCTTAACAGGATTCTACACGTACCAATACAGATACAGAACGAGAAAGTCCGAATTTTAACTGTTCACCCGTATAACGTTCTAGTTATTGACCCAACTACAAAGGCCCTCAGTAAGGAAGTAAACAAAACTATTACATTCATATGATCAAATTTAAATCTGTCAGCTTGCAACGAAATAAAAATAGAGAAACGTGAAAATGATCTGATGATGACAATAATAAATCAATGAGTCAGCAGAACAAGAACTTAAGAGTGTCTTGTGACTGACATTCTTTCAAATTTGATATACACACGGAAACGGTTGTGTCATATATGAATACTGGACAAAATAAACCACATCAGAGAACTAAGGATTCGCAAACAAAGGTAAATCGTAATATCTTTTGTTTTTTTAACTTGTTCTCGCTCAGTCATACCAAAACAATTTTATAGTGGTTGAAGTTTGTATGTGCTACTCCTATCAACCTCATGCCAGCACATTTTTAGTAGTTTCTGAATAGAGAATAGAAGATATAAACGGCATCAACTGTGAAAATTATGTTTTTACATAAGGTGATGATAATGATGATGATAAGGGGTGACTGTTTAATGTCTAGCGGCAACTTTAGAAACACATTCAGGACGAGAACATTTTAATGCGATATGAATATTAATCCTGCTTTGTAATAGACCGAAACGCCGAGCCAGATTTTTAACTTGCGTGCTAGTTCACAAGGTAACAGTCCGCAGGAAGACATGCCACCCTTCCCGGACACATTATTCTGACTCCGAGCTTACCAGTCTTTTCTTTTACTCCATAATTCCGCATGTTTGGTACCGGGCGGGGAACCATCAGATATCTATTTTAAAGTCTTTGGTTTGACCTGGTCGGGATTCAAACCCTTGACCTCACTGACTCGAGTCGAACACGCTACCACGAGAACAATTTATCTAGAATTACTATTTACTTTTCTTATATAGAGTAAACTGTTGGGAAATCTAGTGACAAATATTACCTCCCCTGTAAACACTGAAAACTAGAATTTTTCAATGTTTGTCACGTTTGTTGGCGTTATCAATTATAAAATAACGGGAAAACGTTTTGGTAAATAGTAGAAATAGAAATAATTCAATTCAATTCAAAAATATTTTATTGTTCAAATATCAAACATACATTTAAACAAAGGGATTGGACAAAAGGCAACGCCTATACAAATCTTTTCCCAGTACAAAATGGGTTGAATAATCTGATATATATATACGTTATATTGTTTGAACGTTGTTTTCAATTTAGACTTATGTACATTATATTATATATATTCAGGTTGCACTCTAATAAACTATTTATTCATTCATTCATTCATTCATATGTATAATATATTTCTGGCAACTCATAGATCATTCATTAATTTCAAGTTGAAATAAAACAAAACTTCCATTTAATGTTTTCATTTCCCTCCTTAATGATAGCAAACGATGAGTCTTCTTCTTTTGGTATACAAATATTCCATCGACATCCGATGATTACATATTGTCGCATACGTGGACCATTTATAAAATTTACCATAATTTAAACAAAATATAATTATTTAGTGCAAGAAAATAACAAATTTGTGATTAAAATTATATACAATCTTAATTAATGCTATTAAATAATAGTACAGAGAACAGCTGGAGTGAGCTGTTCTCTGAAGTTATCAATGGATGGTGCTTGGACAAGTACCACAGGGAGCTGATTTCCCTGTGGTATTGTATAAGGAAAGTATGAATGTCTGGAAGAGTCTTTAGATTTATGTATATGCCTGTATGTGAGTGTATGGATTTTCCTAGTTCTTAAGTTCATTACCAATCTTGTGCGTAGCCTACGTTCTGCTAGTGATGAAAATTTTAAGCATGTTTAATTGTAACACTACTATTATTGTGGTATTTATTGCAGATATACCGAGCAGCTCGTCGTTATACCATCTCAATTTTGGATGCCGATTCGATTGTGTGAGGGTCCCAAACAGAACAAGAATATTTAAGTTTGGGTCGGACGAGTGTTTGGTATATATGCCTGGGTTTTTATGTGTGGGTTTGTTGTTTTTAGATTTCGTTTTAGAAAACCTAGTGATTTGTGATGTTATGCCATTTATATGTTGTCCCATTTAAGGTTTGACTGTATTGTGATACCAAGGTACTTAGCTGATGTTACAGATTCAAGTGTATGACCATTTAGAATTTAGCTGTGTGGTACAGGTTGTATCTTTTTGGTGACAGATAGCACAGTGCATTTATCTGGATGGAAAGCCATCAGCTATTGATGTGAAATTGGTTTAAAATGTTGCTATGCGAATAAATTCCTGAAATACAAACTTCAATTTATTTTTCTACTGGCTGTATACCTCTCTGGAACATGCTAATTATCTAGAGGAGGGACGACACTCTGCACACGGCATATATTAATATATATTCATAATTACTTTAAATATCAGCACAACAATGTTAAATCTGCAAATTTCCAGAAGCAAATTTTAGTTCTTCCCTCGCCGGGATTCGAATATCCCAATAGCTTCAATCAATTCCATCTTCATGCCTAATATATCATGTACTGTGTTACAACTCTAGATTCTACTGACGAGGAAAGGTAACACTAGGCCACCGAAAGTTGTTCAGTCTAGGTGGTCGAGTGGTCTAGAGCGCTGGACACAGTGCAGGCGGTGTTGTCTCGATATCCCAATAGCATGAGTTCGAATCCCGACGAGGGAAGAACAAAAACTTGCTTCCGGAAATTTGCAGATTTAACATTGTTGTGCTGATATTTAGAGTAATTATAAATGTACAAGTCTAAATTGAAAACAACGTTCAAATCTATGATTGCGTTGGATAAAAACCGCATTTTTTATACGTATGCATGCAAAACAAATTTCTTGTTAGAAGGGTCTTAATACAGCACAAAAAACAAAGACCAACTAGAATTTTTCAATGTTTGTCACGTTTGTTGGCGTTATCAATTATAAAATAACGGGAAAACGTTTTGGTAAATAGTAGAAATAGAAATAATTCAATTCAATTCAAAAATATTTTATTGTTCAAATATCAAACATACATTTAAACAAAGGGATTGGACAAAAGGCAACGCCTATACAAATCTTTTCCCAGTACAAAATGGGTTGAATAATCTGATATATATATACGTTATATTGTTTGAACGTTGTTTTCAATTTAGACTTATGTACATTATATTATATATATTCAGGTTGCACTCTAATAAACTATTTATTCATTCATTCATTCATTCATATGTATAATATATTTCTGGCAACTCATAGATCATTCATTAATTTCAAGTTGAAATAAAACAAAACTTCCATTTAATGTTTTCATTTCCCTCCTTAATGATAGCAAACGATGAGTCTTCTTCTTTTGGTATACAAATATTCCATCGACATCCGATGATTACATATTGTCGCATACGTGGACCATTTATAAAATTTACCATAATTTAAACAAAATATAATTATTTAGTGCAAGAAAATAACAAATTTGTGATTAAAATTATATACAATCTTAATTAATGCTATTAAATAATAGTACAGAGAACAGCTGGAGTGAGCTGTTCTCTGAAGTTATCAATGGATGGTGCTTGGACAAGTACCACAGGGAGCTGATTTCCCTGTGGTATTGTATAAGGAAAGTATGAATGTCTGGAAGAGTCTTTAGATTTATGTATATGCCTGTATGTGAGTGTATGGATTTTCCTAGTTCTTAAGTTCATTACCAATCTTGTGCGTAGCCTACGTTCTGCTAGTGATGAAAATTTTAAGCATGTTTAATTGTAACACTACTATTATTGTGGTATTTATTGCAGATATACCGAGCAGCTCGTCGTTATACCATCTCAATTTTGGATGCCGATTCGATTGTGTGAGGGTCCCAAACAGAACAAGAATATTTAAGTTTGGGTCGGACGAGTGTTTGGTATATATGCCTGGGTTTTTATGTGTGGGTTTGTTGTTTTTAGATTTCGTTTTAGAAAACCTAGTGATTTGTGATGTTATGCCATTTATATGTTGTCCCATTTAAGGTTTGACTGTATTGTGATACCAAGGTACTTAGCTGATGTTACAGATTCAAGTGTATGACCATTTAGAATTTAGCTGTGTGGTACAGGTTGTATCTTTTTGGTGACAGATAGCACAGTGCATTTATCTGGATGGAAAGCCATCAGCTATTGATGTGAAATTGGTTTAAAATGTTGCTATGCGAATAAATTCCTGAAATACAAACTTCAATTTATTTTTCTACTGGCTGTATACCTCTCTGGAACATGCTAATTATCTAGAGGAGGGACGACACTCTGCACACGGCATATATTAATATATATTCATAATTACTTTAAATATCAGCACAACAATGTTAAATCTGCAAATTTCCAGAAGCAAATTTTAGTTCTTCCCTCGCCGGGATTCGAATATCCCAATAGCTTCAATCAATTCCATCTTCATGCCTAATATATCATGTACTGTGTTACAACTCTAGATTCTACTGACGAGGAAAGGTAACACTAGGCCACCGAAAGTTGTTCAGTCTAGGTGGTCGAGTGGTCTAGAGCGCTGGACACAGTGCAGGCGGTGTTGTCTCGATATCCCAATAGCATGAGTTCGAATCCCGACGAGGGAAGAACAAAAACTTGCTTCCGGAAATTTGCAGATTTAACATTGTTGTGCTGATATTTAGAGTAATTATAAATGTACAAGTCTAAATTGAAAACAACGTTCAAATCTATGATTGCGTTGGATAAAAACCGCATTTTTTATACGTATGCATGCAAAACAAATTTCTTGTTAGAAGGGTCTTAATACAGCACAAAAAACAAAGACCAAAAGAGTGAAAAAGTATATTTTAACAAAACGCATTTGAATAACAGGTCGAACACCAAATGTTCTTAAACCCTGCTGACTGCCATTGGCGATTGCCAAATAAACGGATCACCGATGTAATAAATGGATCTTAATTATAAATTTAATACTAAACAGAAAACAATAAACTTGCGGAAAAGATGGTATACCGCAAACAAAAGGTGCAAAGGTTTTTGTATACTAGTACCATATCCGGATTTCGACAATGAATGTCTCTTCAGTGATGTTAGGAATCGAAACGGTATTTGGAAAGCCATACAATTTACCTCAATTTAGGATAGACTCTTGAATTTTGAGGAGTCAAAATAGGATGAACGGATCATATAAACCCGAAGGCAAATAAAATACAAGCCCAAACGAAAAAATATAAACAAGTCTAAATTGAAAACAACGTTCAGACCTATGATTGCGTTGGATAAAAACCGCAATTTTTATACGTGTGCATGCAAAACAAATTTCTTGTTAGAGGGGTCTAAATATATATATATATATATATGAGGTAAATTATATGGCCTTCCAAATACCGTTTCGATCTCTAACATCACTGAAAAGACATTAATTGTCGATATTCGGATATGGTGCACAAATTTTTCCACCTCAAGTTTGTGGAATACCATCTTTCCGCAAGTTAATTATTTACTGTTTGGTATTAAATTAATATTAAGATCGATTTTGTTAAATCTGGTGATCAAATATATATATATATATATATATATATATATAAACAATTCTTAATTGAAAACAACGCTAAACCAATGATTGCGTTGGATAAAAACCGCATTTTTTATACGTGTGCATGCAAAACAAATGTCCTGGTAGAGGGGTCTAAATACAGCACAAACAACATTTTCCAAAAGACCAGAAAAGTGACAAAGTATATTTTAACAAAACGCATTTGACTAGCAGGTCGAACAATGGATGTTCTTAAAGCCAAAAAAAATGATCACTAGATGTAACAAAATGGATTTTAAATATTAATTTAATATCAAACAGAAAACAATTAACTTGCGGAAAAGATGGTATACCGCAAACAGAAGGTGCAAAAATTAATACACCATATCCGGAGTTTGACAATTAATGTCTCTTCAGTGATTTTAGGTATCGAAACGGTATTTGGAAGGCCATATAATTTACCTCAATTTAGGATAGACTCTTGAATTTTGAAGAGTCGAAATAGGATGAACGGATCATATAAACCCGAAGGCAAATATAATATAAGCCCAAACGAAAAAATATATACAAGTCTAAATTGAAAACAACGTTCAAACCTATGATTGCGTTGGATAAAACCCGCAATTTTTATACGTGTGCATGCAAAACAAATTTCTTGTTAGAGGGGTCTAAATACAGCACAAACAACATTTTCAAAAAGACCAAAAAAGTGAAAAAGTATATTTTAACAAAACGCATTTGACTAACAGTTGAACAACAAATGTTCTTTAACCCTGCTGACTGCCATTGGCGATTGCCAAATAAACGGATCACCGATGTAATAAATGGATCTTAATTATAAATTTAATACTAAACAGAAAACAATAAACTTGCGGAAAAGATGGTATACCGCTAACAAAAGGTGCAAAAGTTTTTGTACACTATATCCGGTTTCGACAATAAGTGTCTCTTTAGTGATGTTAGGAATCGAAACGGTATTTGGAAAGCCATACAATTTACCTCAATTTAGGATCGACTCTTGAATTTTGAGGAGTCATAAATAGGATGAACGGATCATATAAACCCGAAGGCAAATATAATACAAGCCCAAACGAAAAAAATATAAACAAGTCTAAATTGAAAACAACGTTCAAACCTATGATTGCGTTGGATAAAAACCGCAATTTTTATAAGTGTGCATGCAAAACAAATTTCTTGTTAGAGGGGTCTAAATACAGCACAAACAACATTTTCAAAAAGACCAAAAAAGTGAAAAAGTATATTTTAACAAAACCCATTTGACTAACAGGTCGAACAACAAATGTTCTTAAACCCTACTGACTGCCATTGGCGATTGCCAAATAAACGGATCACCGATGTAATAAATGGATCTTAATTATAAATTTAATATTAAACAGAAAACAATAAACTTGCGGAAAAGATGGTATACCGCTAACAAAAGGTGCAAAAGTTTTTGTACACCATATCCAGATTTCGACAATTAATGTCTCTTCAGTGATGTTTGGAATCGAAACGGTATTTGGAAAGCCATACAATTTACCTCAATTTAGGATAGACTCTTGAATTTTGAGGAGTCAAAAATAGGATGAACGGATCATATAAACCCGAAGGCAAATATAATACAAGCCCAAACGAAAAAAATATAAACAAGTCTAAATTGAAAACAACGTTCAAACTTATGATTGCGTTGGATAAAAACCGCAATTTTTATACGTGCGCATGCAAAACAAATTTCTTATATATATATACATGTGATAAGTACGTTTAAACAAGTGACAACTCATTGATAGATCCATCCATTGGATCACCAGTGAAGGTGATACACGGCTGAAAACACATATTATATTCATAAATACTCTAGAACTTGGCCACAATCATCATTGGGGTATCTAGTTTTAAAAATATGTCCGATTACCCCGCCTGCCAACTAAGATGGCCGACATGGCTAAAAATAGAACATAGAGGGAAAATGCAAGTTTTGTCTATTATTTTGAAAACCGTTATAGAGAAAATCTGACATGAAACGTTCAAAATGTTGAGCTCTACCAATTGTTTCATACATCAAGACTGTCAGACGACTTCTTACTGTGGATTCATTTATTTTTGTGGATATCAATTTTCGTGGATTGAGTAAAACTTGCATTTTCGTGGATATTTGATTTCGTGGTTTTGCCAAAGTCTGCATATAACCTTATAGAAAATTTGTAATTCGTTGAACACTTAATTTCGTGGTTCACCTGTACCCACGAAATCCACGAAAATTAGTATCCAACGAATAATAATGAATCCACAGTATATGAGTTATTGCCCTTAAAAGACAAATTTTACCATTTTTTAAAATTTTTGCCTATTATCTTGATAATTATAATAGATAGAGAGAAACTATAAATTGCAAAAATGATCAGCAAGATAAATTCTACAAATAAGTCTATCAAGGTCGAAATCGTCAGTCGACTCCTTATTAGAGTTATTGCCCTTTAATGACGATTTTTACCAATTTTTTGCGTTTTTGCCTTATATCTTAAAAATTATAATAGATAGATAGAAACATAAATAAGCAAAAATGATCAGCAAGACAAGATCTACGGTTAGGTAATATGGAGGAAATAGTCCGACATTTCCTTATTGGAGTTATTGCCCTTGTGACGATTTTACCATTTTTTTGCGTTTTTCCTTAAATGATAAAAATTATAATAGATAAATAGCCATTTTAAATCACAAAAATGACCAGTAAGTCAAGATCTACGAACAAGTCACATTTTGCCGATATAAATAGTAGACTGTCACTCTTTATAGGAGTGATTGCCCTTAAATGAGGATTTTTTTTTACACTCTTTTGTGTTTTGAGCAAAAATCTAAAGAAGAAATAGAGAAACTAAACAGCCTAAATGATCAGCAATACAAGATCATCAAAACAGAGATTTTTGTCAAATTCTATTCTCGTCTACAATTTTGGAGAGTGTCCTTTGTTGAATATGTACATAGATCAAGGTGAGCGACACACAGCCTCTAGTTGCTTATTTACTTGATCTATATGCTTTTTTATGTTTCTTTGTTGAAACAGTTGTATGTTTTTATAGTGATTAAGATTATATTACAATGTTGACTTCTGTATCCCAATTTTTGACGCTTTTACCTGTTATGTCTGTTTGTTTTGCTCTCACATTGTTATCGATATAATGGAATTCAATGCGACTGTTATACAAGTGAAAGGTTTAGCTAGCTCTAAAACCAGGTTTAATCCACCATTTTCTACACAAGGAAATGCCTGTACCAAGTCAGGAATATGACAGTTGTTTTTCATTCGTTAGATGTGTTTGAGCTTTTGATTTTGTCATTTTATAAAGGACTTTCCGTTTTGAATTTCCCATGGAGTTCAGTATTTTTGTTATTTTACTCTTTCCAAGCACGTCATGATGTAAACATCACCTGGACACTCGAAATTTGTTGGAACCACCCCCCCCCCCCTTCCCTTTTAAAATTGGCCGGATCCGCCCCTGATAAAAACAATGGTGTTTAATATTTACCTATTCATTTACGGATTTCACAAATATATTTGGACATTTCATTTGAAAATCATCGTTTTTTATCGACTTCCTATGCAGCATCGGATGGAGAATTTAGGAGACATTTTATGTGCAAGGTTGTATGAATAATATTCTTTTAACAGCTATCAATGTCAATGATTTTTACATGCGAACTAACGAAATATTAACAAAAATTAGTGCCTTGTATTTTTAATGAGATCGAACACAAATTCCCGCCATGATTGTACATAATCTTTAATGATATAGTTTATCAAAAAGAAGTGAAAACACATTAGATATTTTATATAAAGGTCATTTTCGATCAGGTATAAATCTTTCTATTAGAAAACTTGCTATATTTTTAAAGCATAAAAACATTGGCATAATTTAAAAATACGTGTGTTTGCCTCTACTTCCACTTATCGAGATTTTAAGGGGAGGATTATATCTCAAACTAAGTACATTTTCATGTGCCTATCCCCAAATCAGTGATTGTCTTTCTCTATATCTTAATTTTTTGGTCATTTTGGGCGATTAAGTCAGAGCTTGACATCGTGTGTGGACAACTATCATATATAAATAGTTGAAGCTAATGATTTGACCTCTATATGTCTTTGGTTAAATGTTTTCAGTGACGCTTCATTACTGTCTTATTGGTGTCTTTCGTAATTGCTTTTATATATACATACTTCTATTGAAACTCCGTGTTAAATTTTGAATGGTTGTCTGATAAAAGATGTAGTTTTAAAACACTTTGCCTTAAATTATGCTTAAGATAAAAATATGTAGCACCTAGAAATTAAGATACAAGCATCCTTTAATTGTAACTTTAGGATTTAGAAAGTACAGAATATCTGCAAATTTAAAAATATTTCTCACTTTCTTAGTTTATATTATAGAATGGATCCCATCGAGGAAGATAAACCACTTTTGCCCGTACTAGATGGGCCCAATGAAAAACCAGTCATTGTTCGTCCTGTATATCAGTTCATTATGATAGAAATTATTTGCATTCTGCATTTTGGAGCTTTAATAGCTATGTTGCCAATCCAGCAGTTTTATATCATAGACGAAGTTGCAAAGAAATATGGAGAAGACGGTGAAAAATCAAACGTCGACTATTGCCCAATTAATGGTACCGAACTTTCAAACAATACAAGTAATATCGTACAAGCAGAATCTGCAAACGTACTCATGTACCTAGGATTCGTGGGTACATTTATCGCTGTGATTCCCATATTGGTATTAGGTTCACTCACAGACAGATATGGAAGAAAATTTCCTTTGTATCTATCATTGGTTGGAATTTTACTCAAAGAAATTGTAATGACTGTTACCGTTTACAAAGGGTTGTCACTCTGGTTTTTAGCTTTGGGAGAATTTTTCCTCGGCATCACTGGACATTTTGGTCTTTTTTTAGCTGCTATGATGGGAATGATTGCCGATATTACAACTCCTGGTAAAGACAGAGCAATAAAGATAATCGTTTTGGAAGGAACTGCAGCTGTTGCCTTAGCATTTTCGATTTTAGGTATTGGCTTTTGGATAAAAGACGGGAATTATAGACACCCATTGATAATGTGCATCGCATGTACCGTTTTGGCTCTAATATTAACATTAACATTATTGTCCGAGACGTCGAAGACAAACAAAAAGAAGGACACCAGGATATGCACTAAATCAGTTATGTGCGCATGTTTCGATGTGTACAGAAATGGGAGCAGGATAAGAAATAAAAAATTGTTGATAGGACAAATCATATTTTGTATCAATTCTGGGGCACTCTTGGGGAAATCAAACGTTGTTACTTTATTCCTGCTCAACAAGCCGTTGTGCTGGAATGAGGTTGACGTTCAGGTTTTTACATGCTTCCAAATCTTGGTGAACTGGGTTGCAATATTATTTGGCATTAAAATTGTACACAAATACCTTGCAGATTACACCATTGTTATAGCAGGAACAGTGTCGGCCATAGCAAGCTCAGTCACTTTGGCTTTCAGTTTAGAAGACTGGATAGTTTATTTATGTAAGTATCTTTTACGGTTAGAACAAAAGTAAAGAGAGATGAGGTGAAAGACAGCAACCTTACAACACAGAAAAATCTAAAGACGACTTGAGGTAAACATGGCTTTCTAGAGTAGAGTATATCAAGCTATATTATTGCAGTTAGTCTCGAATAGAAAATCAGGTTGCAAGAATCAAAGATCGATCTACTGTCCGTATTAAATTTACAAAAAGCATTAAGACAACTACTGGACAAGTAGCCGGTTAAAATCTCACTCTCCTTTAATCTCGATAAGAGAAATGACAAATGAAAAATTTGTCATCTTTCTATTAAAGCATTTACAAATATCGATCTCAGGAAGATCTGCAGTTGTAAAACTGTTAAACCAGAAGATGATACTGCAAACTTTATTAAAACAATCAGTCAGAAAGGATGCTACGAGAAAATATGGTTTATTAATTAGATGAAATTGGTTTTGAACGAGTTTTCTGTAACGACGATTATTCTTAGGTCGGTACTTTGTATTTTTAGATTTTCTGATCACTTGACGTCCGTCGTCCGTTAACTTTTACAAATCTTCTCCTCTGAAACTACTTAGCCAGATGTAACGAAACTTGGCCACAATCCCCATTGGATATATAGTTTAAAAAATTCGTAAGGGGTTCCACGGAACCCTGTGTGTCGCCTGCGATTGCTGCTGTTAGTGTAGAAGTGTTATGTTGACTTAAAAAGTGAGTCCATTTATAAGTAAAATACAGAATTTGAAAAAAGATTCAAACTTTTCTTTAGATGCAATTTCTTGGTCTTGAAGATTAGCTTCTGTCCAAGTTTCATAACAATTCATGAATGTTTATGAATTTATCATGTCAAAATTGTTTAATCCCAGACTGGCTGTAAATGTTAACTGTATTAAAAAAAACCAAAGTCTATCTATCAGAAAGATATTAAAAATGAAAAAAAAAATTTCAAAGGTTTGCTTAAGACATTATCTCTTAATCATTAAAAAGTTTCTGCCAGAGTTTTCATAAAACTCCATGAAAGTTTGACAAGGTAATTGACGTGTAACAAACTTTAACCCCGGATATTTACTTGTTAACTGTAAAAAACTTAAGTCCATGAATCAGTAAAATATGGGAAAATGAAAATAAATATTTTGCAAAATTTTGCTGTGGATACCTGTCTTTTGGTCATAAACAAGCTTCTGTCCAAATTTCATAAACTTCAAACACTATTGTGCTATTTCGTGGCGGTCAGTTTTTGTTGGTGGAGGAAGCCGTAGTGGCCGGAGAGAACCACCGACCTTCAGTAGGAAAACTGACAATCCGAGTCAATAAATACCGCGTGCGGGATTCGAACTCACAACCTCAGTGTTGACTGGCTAGTGATACAATAGTTCGTCTACTTAGACCACTCGGCCACCGAGGCCCTACAATAGATAGATGGAAAGTTTAAAAAGAAAAAATTATCAGCAAGACAAACTCTACAAATAAGTCTCGTGGTCGAAATCTTCACTTGATTCCTTAGGGAGCTACCATTTGATTTTTATGAGGGGGGGGGGGGGGGGGGATGCTAGGATGAAACATGTTGCCCTCCTTTTTTTTAGTTGTAATGTCTGTCCTGCCTTTTTATTTTTCACTCTATTCGGTCCTTCCTTTTTTTTTATTAGTATATCCTGACTCTTTTACATAAATTGTCATCCTGCCTTTTTTTTGGCCAAGTTGCTGATCCTGCCATTTGTTTTTACTCATAACTCCTGTTCTGCCTTTTTTCAAATTTTTCATCCTAGCTCCCCCCCCCCCCCCCCCCCCCCTCCCCCATAAAAATCAAATGGTAGCTCCCTAATTGGATACATTGCCCTTTAATGACATTTTTGTCTCGCCTGCGACGAAAGTCGCGGAAAGCGAGACATAGGGATTGCTTTTCCGGCGAAGACGGCGATGGCTCCAGCGTCAACAATTGTTTTCTGCTTAAGTTAGTTTGAAAGGAACTACTTGTGATAGATCATTGCTATTTGGTATGAAGTTGCATTGCTATTAGTACATATCAGTTTGCCGACTATTTCGAGGCCCTGTCACCTAAGTCAAGGTGCAGTGACTTTGAATTAATAAGCAATTTTCAATTTTTAATTTTTCTGCTTAATCTAGTTTGATAGGATCTACTGGTGATAGATCATTGATATTTTGTATGAAATCGCATTACTTTCAGTATATATAAGTTTGACAACTATTTTGAGGCCCTGCCCTCCTAGGCCATGGTTCAGTGACTTTCAGTTAATTAGCAATTTTCAATGATAAGTTTTCTGCTTAAGTTAGATTGATATGAACTACTTGCGATAGATCAATGATATTTTCTATAAAGTTGCATTACTATCAGTACATATCAGTTTGACGACTATTTCAAGGCCCTGGCCTTGCGGTCATAAAACTTTCGAGCACGATTTTCGTACTCAGACTCAGAAAACAACCAATCAAAATCATGGATTTGGTGTTTCGAGCACAAATTTTGTACTCCGAGTACCGAGTAAAGTTTTATGACCGAGAGCCCTGGTCCCCTAGGTCATGGTCCAGTGACTTTCAATCATTTAACAATTTTCAATGTTAAGTTTTCAGATTAAGTTAGTTTGATAGGAACTACTTACAATAGACAATATTTTCTATAAAGTTACATTGCTGTCTGTACATATCAGTTTGACAACCATTTTGAGGCCCTACCCACTAGTTGGTCAGCGACTTTGAGTTAACTAGCAATGTTGCTATCCATCAGATTGTCTTTTTATGAATTCTATGCCGACAGGCGAGACATACCTCTTTATTTTGCGTTTTTGCCTATTATCTTAAACTATAATGGACAGATGAAAGCTTTGAATGCAAAAATAATCATCAAGACAAAATCAAGTAAGTCAACATGTATGTGACCGAAATCGTCAGTCGACTCCATATTGGAGTTTTTGCTCTTTGATGACGATTTGTTTTTGCGTTTAGCTTATCATATTGAAAACTATAAAAGATAGATAGATACATTAAACTAGCAATTATGCTTAGAAAGACAAGTTCTACTAATAAGTCATATGTTGCCGAAGTTGTTAGTTGACTCTTTATTAAAGTTATTTCCCTGAAATGATAATTTTTTAATCTTTTTTTTTGTGTTTTGGCTACCGTTTGGGCAAAAAATAAAGAAGATAGAGGGTAACTGTAAACAGAAAAAAATATCAGCAATACGAAATCAACATCAAAGAGATTTTTTTACAGTAGACACATCCAAGTTCAAAAACATAATAAAACTTCAGATTTAAAGAAAAAAATAGGATTTATCTTTTTTCGTGAGCACGGCACTTGTTTCTGGAATAACCCTAAGGAACGGATTCAAAACGGGGGGGGGGGGGGGGGGGGGAATAAAAAATCCTGGATCCAACCTGACCTTCATCAGGTACTTTCGCCAGGAAATCAGATTGGAAAAAGGCATACAGAATTTGTAAGTATCAAAACTAAATGGGCCTCAATGATACAATCAAAACCATTTTTTTATAATTTATATATAATAATTATATATAGTAGGAATAATGTTTTTGCAATGTATTGCTTGATACTTTTGTTCCCTATTTGACACTTTTACTTTATTACAGATGCGGTGATTAGTATAATGGCAGTCTCGACTTCACCCTTACTTAGATCGGTTCTTTCAAGGCTGGTGTTACCAGATGAACAAGGTAATATTTTGTTCAGACTCTTGTCAGGTAATGACGAAAGTATGATTTTTTTGCTAAGGCTCATGCCATTTGATATAAACAAGACAATTACAATTTTTCTATCCAAGCTATCATGTCATTCACTGAATAAGGTAATGTTTTGTTTGAGCCCATGTCACCTGATGAACGATAAACTGTTTTACCAGTCCCTTGTCACTTGATAAGCAGAGTAATGTTTTGCTCGAGTTCGGATCTCATTAGGAACAAGTGATCGTTTTCAATTAATGGAAATATGGTAGGTAACCAGTAACACACCTTTACCATCAAAAAGAGTGAGAAGACACTACTGCAGGAGTAATTTTTCAAGTATGTTACTAAAAGAATGTTCACGCATGTGCTAACTGTCATTACAACTATTTTTTAGGAAGCCTTTTTGCTTGTATTGGTAGTTCTGAATTACTGCTGACATCACTTGCACAGCTGTTTTATGGTTATGTTTACAAAGAGACTGTTAGTTATCTTCCGGGGTTGGTGTTTTTGATAACGGCTGGAGTTCTAGTGATAGAATTCTGTTTATCTTTGTAAGTTTAATCTTACGTACATTTTTAAAATTTTTATTACTAAATTTCTTTGTATTCAAGCAATAAGAGTTTTCAATATTGCAAAATTTTTCCACATCGCACCCCCCCTAAATTTTACAACTCTACCTTATTGGAGGATTTGTTGCCATCGGTCATGGTCTATTGACTTTGGAACTTTTGCTTAGTTAACATATTAGGTCAGTTTAAGATGAATCATTTTAAATGGAAAGTCAATGATATTTGGTTTGCAGCTGTATTATCATTTGCTCGTCTCGTTTCCATGGATATTATATGACCCCATCCTCTCAGTCATGGTTGACTTTGAAACTTTTGTTTAGGTAAATTGGTAAATTGATAAAGATTGTGTTAAGGTTAGTTTAAGGGGAACCATTTATGATAGAATCTTTATGATAAGTCAATGATATTTGGTATGCAGTTGTATTAGCAATGGCATATCTCATTTGTACTGAGATTATTTTGTCCTGCATCATCAGTCATGGTAAATTGACTGAATGTATTACATAGTTTACATGTTAAAAGTATTGCAATTTTAGTTTGAAAAATTCGCATTTACTATCAAAATTACATACAGGCAAGACATATCTATGTGTCAATAGTTTATTTTAAATTTTACTGATAAATAGACTTATGGTTTTAGGCAGTCAACAAAATACTTTTAGCAGCAGTCGCTTGGAAGACACAAGGTTCCACAGAACACTTTATACAAATTTTTAAATCAATTGATTTTTTTTAACTTTTCTGAAAAACATCTACATATATTCCTTATGGGAGGGAGTTTTGGCTGAAACTGTTATCTGGCATCAAAATTTCCAGTTTTTGCAAGAATTTTGAATCCTAAGAGCAAAATGCACAACAACATTATATATTTTCATATATCTTCATATCAATTGAATAATAAAGGTTATGACGGATCAGATCGAAAGAAGCCCAGAAAACAACAACTAACAAAAAAAAAAAAAAAGACGCAAAGTATGAATTTTGAAATTCTCCATTTTCTTTGCAACTTCGTCTATTACATAAAACTGTTGGATTGGGAGCATTGCCATCAGAGCACCAAAACTGATCACATTTACTGAAAGCTAATTCAAAGGCAATTAGATTATCAAACTGAGTTTTATTGAAAACCTGAACGGTTAAAGAGCACAGTTACATATACATTTTTGTAAAATTCAACATAATCTTATATAATGAATTTTATTTTATTTTCAGAGTTCTATACAGTATTATGTCCTCAGAACCAATATCTGTAACAGAAACAGTTATTAAAGTCTCCTAGATTTTAGAGCGATCTGTATCAGGAACATTGATTGAAATCTCTGGATTTTATACCAAAGACAGTAGTTGAAATCTCCAAGGCCATAAAAAAGAATATGTTTGTTTGCCCTAACTCTACCTTCCCAGAAAATAGCTGCCTTCTCAAAATCTTTTATTGTCCTGATGTGAAAAAGTTTTTTTTTTAATCAGATAGGCATGAAGACTAAAATACATCTGACACTTCAATTTCTTGTTGCCGAAAAAAAAGAAAAGAAAATGCCTACCAACCTACCCACTGTCTTTATGTTTTGGTAGGGTTTGGGCAAACCAACATATTTTTAAGTGTTTATAAATATTTAAGATCTGTGATCCTGTATCAAAAACAATTGTAAAATATCCTGTGTTTGAGAGCTGTATATGTAAGAAACAATGATTGAAATCTAAAAATTTAAGACGCGTCTCCCTAATGCATTGAATTTCATAAATTTTAAAAGATGTCTCCCTTATGCAGGTAATCTCCGAAATGTTTAGATCTTTCCAGTTATAGCAGAATCTCTAATATTTCAGAGAACCAGTAGTTGGAATCCGGTAATTTTAAGATCTGTCTGTTTTTTACCAAACATATGATTGAATCTCCTTTATTTAGGATCTGTTGGTATTTATCAGGAACAGGGATTGAAGGTTGCATAGAATAAAGAACACAACAAAAGTTGAAATCTCCTAAATTAAAGTCGTGTCTGTCTTAATCAGACATTCAAATAAAACTTTCAAATTTAAGACCTGGTTTTCTCCATAAAAACAGTGAATACATTCTCCTTGCTAAAAGTTAACGGTCAACTAATTGTCTTTGTCAGAAACTGCAGTTTAATTCTCCTAAGATCTTTCTGTATATTAGAAACAATGGTTGAAGTCTTCTAGATTTAAGACCCATCTATTTCAAAAAAAGTGGTTGAAATCTCAGTGAATACATTCTCCTTGCTAAAAGTTAACGGTCAACTGATTGTCTTTGTCAGAAACTGCAGTTTAATTCTCCTAAGATCTTTCTGTATATTAGAAACAATGGTTGAAGTCTTCTAGATTTAAGACCCATCTATTTCAGAAAAAGTGGATGAAGTTTTCTATATTTATTTGTCTTTTTGGTTAATACCTTATATTTTGATTCCAAAGTTATTGAAGGATGAAGTTTTACACTTGCCAATACATTCAACCACATGTCTAGTCACTTGTGTTTAATAAAACAGTGCAATTAACTACTTTTCAGTCACTATATATTATATACAATTTATCAATGATTGACTTGGTTAAGTTTAGCATTTAGGTCCTTTCCTCTGAAATTCAACCTAGGATTGTCAGTTTTCCTACCAAAAGTCGTTGGTTCTCTCCGGGCACTCCGGCTTCCTCCACCAATAAAAACTGACCGCCATGAAATAGCACAATAGTGTTGAAAGTGGCGTTAATCATCAATCAATCAATTAATTTGAAACTCAACATTGTATACATATATCACCAATGCTATTATACTATTAAATAACTCTTATTTTGTTTAATATAGTGCCACTACAATTAGAGTACTATGACCTATGTTTAATCATTGAGTAACTTTGGTTTAGTTTAGTGTTTATATTATATCTGATTTCCATTGTGGTATATAATTGAAACATATCTGTATAGTACAACACATTCCCAAGGCGTTTGAGCTCCTGAAAGTTTCATCTCGTGTTCAAATGAATTTTGTTCAACTTTTTATTCAAGTTGATTTTTCATGGTATGTTTATGGCATCTCACCACTATCTTCCAATCTACCCCCAGAGTTCAGCACAATTCAGCAGTACTTGAGAAATCACGACCTACATTTACTAATTATTTACAAGACAATTATGAATCATTAATGTGTATTAAGATAGGACACCTTAGCCATGCAGAGATAATCTGTAATTCTACTTTTGGGATTTTTTCCAAAAATGATTTTTTTTTCTTTTTTATCTTTTGTCTTTATCCTCCATTTTGTTTTACAACTTTAGTATTGAATGCCATATTGCACCTTCTTCTTTATACTTTGATTCAGGTTGAAAGTAATCAGCATTTATAAGAGTGACTTGTTTCATCGGATCAGATCTGACGGTTCTCAAAGCATAGTGTTCATTTGAGTGATTATGATGTTACACCTGACTGTTTATTGAAATTTTATGTGTTATTTTGAGAAGTTATTTTGTTACATTCTGTGTTTTAAATATTTGTTATTTAGAGTTACATTTTGTTAGATCCGGTTTTTTTAAAAAGGTAATGCTATTATAAATATTGCCATTTCTGTAACACAGTGATGACTGCTGTACCCATATTTTGACTATTTTATTTATAATGTCTGTTTTGTTCACGCATCGTTGTAAATATAACGGAATTTGATAAGACTGTCGTACAAGTGAGAAGTTTAGCGCTATAAAACCAGGTTCAATTCACCATTTTCTACATTTGAAAATGCCTGTACCAAGTCAGGAATATGACAGTTGTTGTCCATTCGTTTGATGTGTTTTGTCATTTGATTTTGCCATGTGATTAGGGACTTTCCGATTGAATTTTCCTCGGAGTTCAGTATTTTTGTGATTTTACTTTTTTCTTACCTGATTTTTTTTTTATGTAATCATGTATATAAATGTTATATGAGTCAAAAATATATTATCATGCATATTGTGTTCATGTTTGGGTGGAATGATATAAAAATAAGAAAATGTGGTATGATTTTCAATGAGACAATTATCAACCAGAGGTTTATAGAAATTTGCTTCATTTGATTAAAAGGGAAAATGAACAGGGTTGATGTCAATGAGATAACAACCTACAATAATATATTACAACAAAGAACATCCAAAGGGTCCACCAGAGAGTCTAAATAAATTTAGAATCAATTATCAGAGGTACAATGTATAAAATCTACACCACAATTTAAACAGTTAAATAGTAAAAACTTTACTTTAGACATACCGTGGTAAGCAAGGTAAATAAAGTACACATATTTTTTGTTTCTTCTTTGTGAAATACTATAAATTCAGATATTATAGCGTGCGTTTATTATTGCGATGTTTTAAGAACGGAAAAAGATTTGAGAATATTTATGGCTATTCCAGGACAATTTGCATACAGATAAATGTATAAGATATCAGAATGGGAGTTTTAACTATTGCAATACCCACTTAGTCGCATTATTCGCATTAATGAAAACCTCGCAATAATTTTTGAATTTACAGTAACTTATCCCTCTCATTCAATCAAAGGAAATAATGCCATCTGAAAAATATTCAATGTTTCCCTTTTTGAAAACACGGTTTTTAGATACATTGAATTTCCCAAAATCAAACTTGAAGTTTAATATATTATTCTAAAAATGAATTTAGGATAGCTGTATTACGATTTAAGATGGTATGGGGTCTTCCACAATCTCGGATCGAGTAAAATAGCACAACACCATAGGCCTAGATTTTCAATGAAATCGGCAAATTTTGATGCCGTGATGAAATTTACAAATAAGAATTTTCATTTAAATGAACAAATTAATGTGATTTTATCTTAAAATCATTTATATTTTAATAAAGGTAAAATATTTTTGATTGTTTTCATTTTTTTTTTACTTAGCATATATATATACAAAGGGGAGATAGCTCAGTAATTGTATTATGAATAAACTAATCCACTAATCCACTTGAATTTTTTCTATTTTTATGTCATAGACCCCATTTTTGGTTTGATATTCTAAAAGCATTTTACAAGAGCTATCTTTTCATATGTTATTGCAAAATTCTATCATTTAGTTTACTATTGTAGTCTAACCTATAGCTTGAAAACATGCTTGGTGAGGCTGGTAACCTATCATTTTTATTATTTTTGAACATATCACAATATACACTGCATTTTGGCTAAGTTTGAAAACGTTCTATCTATTTTTGTTTAAACTCCCATTCTACTTTAAGTATATATCTCCCAATTGATACGATATTCCCGGGCTTGTGTTTCCTATCATGATTTCCTTGATAGAGGATTGCTGCTCACAAGGAAGCTATTAAGCCAAGAGTTCCAAATGGTGAAGTTGAAATCATCCCTTCGTAAATTTTACGGACGCCATCACGAGTTGGTTGACCGTTATGGAATAACCGTTTCACAGATGATATCGGATATGTTCCTTATGTCGTAACTACAATACCCTTCCCTTTTCACGAATGTGACTTACCGAATTAGACTATTTACCGGATTTGTAATAACATAAGCAACACGACGAGTGCCACATGTGGAGCAGGACCTGCTTACTCTTCCGGAGCACCTGAGATCACCCCCAGTTTTTGGTGGGGTTCGTGTTGCTTAGTCCTAATTTTTCTATGTTGTGTCATCTGTACTATTATTTGTCTGTTTGTCTTTTTATTTTTGGCCATGGCGTTGTCAGTTTGTTTTCGATCTATGAGTTTGACTGTCCCTCTGGTATCTTTCGTCCCTCTTTTAAGGTTTATATTCAAATCCTTTAACTACATACATTGTATTTGGTAGTTACTTTGTTGATGCATTGTGTTTTTATTTATAGGTGTTGTATTTAAAGTTTTCTTGATTTTGTGTCTGTTTTTTAATTATTCTTTCTTGAATATACAGAAATATTGTCATAACTTAGATTGGGCAATTTTCTTGATAAAAAAATATTTTGTGACTTTATCTTAAAAATTGGAAATAATTTTACCTGAATATAGGACAGAAAGTCACAGGACAAAAAGTCACAAGTCAGTTTTAAAAATTAGTAGGGTATATAGCATGTATTTTAAATACGATTTTATCCGTTATTTTTAGAATATTGGGATTGCATAATTAAAATAAAGTCATATATTACAGAAGTTAGTGCAATCATTAGTCTTCATTAATCAGCTGGTTTTTTTTTTATATATAACGTAATCTTAAAAATCTTTTCAAGCGGTGTAATATAACAATTGGTTAAACACAAGCGGACCCCCAAGCTAATGCATACACACTTTTTTCTTTACAAGTTAATAAAAACTACTAAGATTGAGAAATATTAAAGTTAATTTGCCGAATCCCTTCCATAAAAAGTTTTTTAATTATTCTTTCTTGAATATACAGAAATATTGTCATAACTTAGATTGGGCAATTTTCGAACAAATTACCTGTTGTCATTGATCATCAATACTATTTCCTTATAAATATTCCTCCAATCAGCGAAATTTACAAAACTTTTCAGTTATGTGTAAATTGCTATTTACCCTGAATTTACTTCACAAAACCCAACGACTTTTAAAATAGTTATTCATTATTTTATTATGGGGCCGGATTGGTTTGGGGCCGGAACGACCTGATACCTTGAAAAGGGCAAAATTGGGTATTTCGCATTGGGGTGATAACATCTCCATTTCTTGTCCGAGCCTCTTTAAATTCAAACTGATGTTTACTTTCGTACAAACCTTAGATGAGCTCGATTTTCAGAAAAATCTGAAATGAGGGACCATTTTTGGGGAGGTTGCCTTGTGTAAAAATTGATGTCGCCTGGATAGCGTCTCAATTTCTTATCCGAACTTTTTGAAATTCAAACCAATGTTCACTCTGAAGGAAACCTTGGATAAGCTCGATTTTAAGAAAAATCTAAAATTGGGCACCATTTTTTGGGATGGGGGACTTGTAAAAATTGATGTCGCCAGGAAGCGTCTCCATTTCTTGTCCGAACCTCTTCAAATTCAAACCAAGTTTCACTCTCAATGAAACCTTAGATGAGTTCGATTTTCAGAAAAACCTGAAATAGGGGACCATTTTTGGGGAGGGGGACTTGTAAAAATTGATGTCGCCTGGATAGCGTCTCAATTTCTTGTCCGAACCTCTTCAAATTCAAACTGAGGTTCAGCCTCATGGAAACCTTAGTTGAGCTCGATTTTCAGAAAAATCCGAAATGAGGGACATATTGTTTTGGGGAGTGGGACTCGTAAAAATTGCACATAAAAATGATATCGCCCTTATAGCGTCTCCATTTCTTGTCAGAGCCTCTTCAAGATCAAACTGAGGTTTACTCTCATAGAAACCATAGAAACTCATAGAAAATGAGTTAGATTTTCAGAATAATATGAAATGGAGGACTTGTGAAATTTGCACATAATACAATGTTAACGCAAAGATATGTCTCGCGCCTTTTTATTATTCTGATAGTAAAATGCAAATGTTGAAATTAAAAAGGCAATACTTGAATATGTAAATTATGCGAAATATTCAATGGAAATGAGATGTTCCAAAGCTAATACAGCTGCATACCAAATATTATTGACATACCACTAGTGGTTCCCCATAAACTTACCTAATCACAAATTAATACATGTTAAGTAAGCAAAAAGTTCAAAGTCAATATACCATGATTGAGAGGGTGGGGCCAAATAATCTCCATGGAAATGAGACGTGTCAATGCTAATTCAGCTGCATACTACTGATTATCATTGACCTGTCACTAGTGGTTCCCCAGAAACTGACCTAATCACAAACTAATACATTGTTGACGACACCGCCGCCGAAGCCGGAAACAGCATACATATGTCTCGCTTATTATTCCGTCAAGGCGAGACAAAAATTAATGTATCTGGATAGCGTCTCTATTTCTTGTCTGAGCTTCTTCAAATTCAAACTGAGGTCCAATCCCATGGATTTTTTTTTACCCAGGGACAATGTGGGGGCATGGGGTAAGTGAGCGCGCTCACTGAAGTTCTTAAGTTGTTATATGTCTTTATGTGAAATCCTTTGTTTATTTAAGGATTTGTTGTGGCTATGATTTAATTTTTCCCAATTATTTCGGGGCCATTTAGTGCTTGTTATGTGGTGTGGATTGTTGCTTCATGTTGAAGACCACACGGCGACCCCTAGATGATGGTATTTTTGCCACGTTCTATTTTATTGGAATGTGTCTAATTGACGCATACCCTGTATCCTTTCTTTTTCATATTCTTGTTAGATTGAAAACTGCAGGACAGGGCTATCTTGGTTATTGGTGATTTCAAAAGATTAAAATGATATTGGTTTTATTGCTGATTCTGAGAAATAACATTTACACATTTGATGAAATCGTCAATTCCATGTTTCTTGGTGGTGTTTGGAAAAGGTACGGAAGCCCTAAGTGAATCTCTGTATCTCTGCCACAAGGTTTCGGAAATTGGACAAAAGACTGGTCTACTGTTACCATCTTGCTCCAAACTAGAATTATCGAAACCTTCTACACCATAATACTGAAGATCACATTCTGGTATTGCACCAACTTGGTTTTGCAGCTGGCCTGCTACCCAAAGAGCCAATGGTGATGACCTAGTTGTACGAAGTCGATGACATGACCAAGCATCTACCCAAATTTCGATTTTCCTGTTGATATCGTCCATGAATATGTGATGCAGTACCATCAAGTGCAACTCGATCAATGGGTCTAAAACACCTATATCCTCCATATGATAAAACATATGGTAAAAATAACATAGAACGCCTTCGTAGAGATCACGCCAAAGTCTTTCAATGCGTTGATTATGAGTGCTATAGGTCCTGTAATCATGCTTCCTGGTCCATTTAATCCTAGCATGAAATCGGCAACAAGAATGTGTTCTAAACCTTTGTCCGAACTTACACGTTTGGGTGTTCCATAGCAGGAAATTCCAGTGCGAAAACATTCGAAAACTGTTTCCGATTTGTTATTTTCACAACATTTCATGAACATTAGCAATCGGCTGCAACCGTCAATTCCACCGACAATAATGAATTTCAAACGAATCAGTTTGTGATTTGTGTCTATATACCAAAGATAGTTTGGTCCCTCCACATTATAAATTCCCCTATGAAACCGTCCTTTGCGTCTTTCTTGTGGACCGTTTTCGTCGACCCTTTCAATACTGTTTCGTAGACGCCATCTCGGAACATGTATTCCCTTTCTTTTCAGCATGATTCTTAAATAGGTTTCCCCACACCGTGGAAAGTCATTAATTATTCCAATCAGATTTTAGTCAAGTTCACCATCTTTTATTTCTGTAAACTGTTCTCTCAGAGAAATTTCTGATATTTTAAATCCAATCTCCAGCATGTTTTCTTATATTGACTTTGGAATGTTAAATTTGAAAGTATTTTAATTGGCCTTGAGGTGCCATATTTAGAGCAATCTAACCTGAAATTCATCATGTCTGACCTGTTTTGGACACCAAGTTCCTCCATTTCATGCGATGACAACTGACAAAGAATTTCTGGAGATATTTTCTCAAGCTTGAACCTATGCAACAAGTGCTTCAATCCATGATTTATAAGAATTTCCTGCATAACTCGTCCGTCCGCCATATTCACGTCGAATTTATTAAATTCTACGTAAACAAAAAACTTGCGCCTTTTTTATATTCGTTGGTCAGTATTACTGTTATAAATAAATATCAGTACGTCATTATAGTATACAGATGCAACATTATGATATAGCAATCTGTTAGAATAGCACAGTGAGGTGATAAGATATTATGAAAAGGTGGGTCCATATTATATCAAGATGTCTTTGTAGTATACGACTTTATCGTCGTACGTCGTAAGATAGTAATATGACAGAATAGTATAAAAAAAGT